GCCTAGACCAGAAAACAAAACAAGCTCCAAAGGTCACTCTGGCGAAGGGCCACTTTCACGTGCAGTCCAAGCCGGGAGGGCGCAGCGCTGCATGGCGACCCCGCGCCCGGCCCGGGCGCGGCCGGCACGGGCGAGGTGGTCGGTCGAGTCGTCCCCAGGGTCCTCGCGGGGCGCGCCGCGGCGGGGGCGCCCAGCGAGCCCGCGGCCTCGGAGGCGGCGTCGGGGAACGCGGCGAGGATCTCGCGGAGGCCCTCCTGCGCCGTCGGCCGCGCGCAGAGAGCAGAGAGCACGCTCGCGCCGTGTCGGGCTCCTGGAAACCCAAGGTGGCCCGAGAGAGGCCCCCCCCAGACCATCTTCAAGAGGCCCCCGAGAAGGGCCCCCCGAGACGACCCGGGAGGCCCCCCAGGATGGCCTGGAAGGTCGAGAGAGGCCCCACATCTGGGCCGAGAGGGGGCGGGTGTGCCGATCGCTGCGCGCGGGCGGCTGCAGCAGCGGCCTTCGACGCTCGGAGCGTGGCCTCTTCCCCTGCGCCGTTGGCCACGCGCAGAGAAGGAGTGAGAGAAGGAGAGAGAGAGAGAGAGAGAGAGAGAGAGAGATCCACCACCACCATAGGCAGGACGGGGGAGAAGGGAGGACGGGGAGGTCCTCCTCCTCCTCCTCCTCCCTCCTCCTCCTCCTCCTCCTCCTCCTCCTCCTCCTCCTCCTCCTCCTCCTCCCTCCTCCTCCTCCTCCTCCTCCTCCTCCTCCTCCTCCTCCTCCTCCTCCTCCTCCTCCTCCTCCTCCTCCTCCTCCTCCTCCTCCTCCTCCTCCTCCTCCTCCTCCTCCTCCCCTCCTCCTCCTCCCTCCTCCTCCCTCCTCCTCTCCTCCTCCTCCTCCTCCTCCTCCTCCTCCTCCTCCTCCTCCTCCTCCTCCTCCTCCTCCTCCTCCTCCTCCTCCTCCTCTCCTCCCCTCCTCCTCCTCCTCCTCCTCCTCCTCCTCCTCCTCCTCCTCCTCCCCCTCCCCCCCCTCTCCCCCTCCTCCTCCTCTTCCTCCTCCTCCTCCGCCTCCTCCTCCTCCTCCTCCTCCTCCTCCTCCTCCTCCTCCTCCTCCTCCCCCCATCCCTCCTCCTCCTCCTCCTCCTCCTCCTCCTCCTCCTCCTCCTCCTCCTCCTCCTCCTCCTCCTCCTCCTCCTCCTCATTCATTCACCAAGAGTATGCGCGCCAGAGGCATTCACACACACATGCGAAAGGATGCACACCACACACGCACTCATTGGTGTGTGTCTCGAGCACGCTCACGCTGCATCAGCTCGAGGAGGGCACGTCTCTCTGCTATATCTGATCAAGGCGATCAGTGTTGAGAACGAGGAGCGCCAACAGAGGTTCAGTCAAGCCATGGCCCCCAAACCACGAAGGACGCCCACGGCAGGTTTTGGTCCAGAACAAAAAGCCGCGCCATGGCGCGAGGAGGCCCATCAAGGCCTGGGGCGGGAAGGCCTTCCAAGGCCCGACGGTCCAGCCAGCAAATTGTTTGGAGCCACAAGGGAAAACAGCTTCACCCGCTCTCCAGAGTTGGCGGGTGAAGGTGGTGGTGGTTGGGCGGCCATCACACCACCTCTCCAAGGATAGAATTCCATTCCATGCATATCCACCACAGGCATGGCCGATAAAGACTCCGCTGCTCTTTGGAGGGGGCAGAGGGAGGCCCGACCCAAGGAAGACACAGGCCTCCTCGATCGTGTGCCCCTGGCCAGCAGCGAAAGCCTCGAGCTCATCAGCCACCGCTGGGCTGAGGGTGTGCCGCCGCTGCGATCGGCCCAGGATCGCCGACGGTCGCGGCGCCCTCGGGCGCTCCTGAGTTCCCACCCCCCGTCGCCCCACGTCCACGCCGCCCCCCCCCCCGCCCCGACGCCGAGGAGGAGGAAGCGGGTGAGAATCGACAGCCTCTGCCTCAGCCATGTGGACTTCCTGGAAAGCAGCCCACTTGGCGAAGCTTTTGACGGCCTCCTGGGGGGAATCTAACGCATTATATCCTGGGCTGGGAACTGGGTGGAGAGCGGTGCTTGTGCCAGCATAAATGTCAGCCGCCCTATTTCCCGCCCAGTAGAATTCCGAGACTCGGCCTTCTGTCACCGCGCTGTACAGGATGTGGGACGTCACCTTGACCGCCCTCGCTTCGGGCAGGCTACGGTGCACTTCTTCCCAGATATGGCCTCTGGGAATGGCAGCGCTGCAGGCGCGGCTTGGATATGAAACGCGATCGACCGTTCCCTGACAGTCAAAATAGAAGGTGACTTCACCCTGCACAAACCCGCGAGTTGCCATTAAAATGGCCACATCTTCACCGTCGCGGGCAGCTTGGTACGAACCGAGGAGCCGCGGCACGGGACCATGCGCAGCGGCTAACATCAGTCCTTCAACGTTCAGCTGCACCAGGCTCCAGCCAGCCCTCCTTGCCAGGGGGCAGGTTGGAAAGATGGCCGAACCATCAGAAGAAACCGATCCAGTCATAAAGCCGCGCTCTGGCTTCTGGACCCTGACAACCTCGGACCCCGAATTCCAGACGGGCCGCGGGGCTCGCTCCAAGGGAAAGGGAAAAAAAGCCGCTGGCGGCCTTGTCCAGGTCCTGACCAGCGAGCTGCATGGCCGCGGCCTCTTCGAGCATTCCAGGGGAGACATACTTAGCGCGGGGGTCGTGCCAGTGCTCACAATGGAATCTCCGATGCCAGGCCGTCCCAGAACATTTGCCACACAGCTGGCAGACATCTGTATCCGCTTTGTCATGCCTGGCTTGCGTGGCCTGGCACCCTTGCTGCTGGCTGTCCAGTGATCTGGGCGTCTCCTTGCGTCGCATGGGGACCCCTTTCTTGTCCTTATGTAAACTATGTACAGTGGAAGGGCGGAGGCCAAGCAACTGCTTCATCGACAATCCAGAAACTCCCGAGCCCCACAAGGCTTTCGCGAGGGGCCCAGCCCTCAGAATGCCTCCAACCTTGGCTCCCGCGCTTATGAATTTCTGAAGCTTGTAAGACCGTCGGGAAACGTTCATCATCCTCTTGGAAGCAATTGTCATCACTCTCTTCCTGCGGGCATGCGCGTCAGTACCCAGCGATTTTGCAGTGAACTCCCGAGCGAAGATCAGCCTCGCCCCGTTGCTGGACAGGGCCTCCGCTAGCTCCAACGACGACGCGATGAAGAGCTGGTTACCTGAGATGGCGCGGCAGACGAAGGCCCCCCTGATCCAAGCACAAACGCCTGCAGGCTTGTCCAGGGAATGATCATCACCAGGCGCATCGCGTGCTGCGCCTTCACTTGTCGTGCTTGTCGGTGATGATGCATGCGCTGAGGGGCCGCTGGTTGCCCTTGCACTTGTCGTCGCCTCCTGCAGTCTGGGCGCCGTCGACGGTGTCGTCAGCGGTGTAGTCAACGCCGCCGTGGTTGGCGCCACCGTAGTTGTGGTGGACGAGCTGCCACGGGCCATGTCCACGAAAGATTGGGAAGCATCCGGCTGATGGGGGTTACAGTCACCATGGACTCCGTCAGCATACCCAGGATGCGTGTCTTCAAGAATGTAGAGAAGCGCATCATCATCATGGCTACCCGTATGCCTGCTCCCACCAGGCTGCATTGCCACAAGACTGATGCTGTTGTAGGGGAAGTTGTTGCAGCTGCCCTTCATTGCACTCGACGGAGTTACAGTCAAAATAGGGCACTGCTGACCTGATACCCAAGTGTGGTTTCTAGCCACTACGCACAGGTTTGCCACTGGCCGCCTTGGAGGCCTGCTCCAACTTGTCCTTGGCCGCCTTGATCGTGAGGCTGGCCTTCTTGCTCGGGTCCTGGCCCACTGGGGGCTCAGCTGTTGGTGCTGCCGCCGCTGCCCCTCTCGGCGTTGGAGGCTGGGCCGTTGTGGGCTCAGCCGCAGGTGCCGAGTCCTTCGGTGCTTCCGTCCCGTGCGTGGACTCTGGATGGGCGGCCACTCCTCCAGGTGCTCCTTCGTCACCGCTGGTGTTGGACTTCCGCTTCTTGGCCGATAGGCGCTCCATGTGCTGTCGCTGCTCCTGTTCCAGTGCTGCCGCTTTCTCCCGCAGCGGCCCAAAGAGCGTGCCCAGCGCCGTCTTGAACTCGGCAGAAAGCTGCTCCTTCCTGCGCATTGCTTCGGCTCGGTCGTCTGGCGACACCACATCTCCCAAGGCCTCGAGGCCAAACATGTCGCCGTCGTCCAGCAGCAGGTCTTCCCCATCAAGGAGCTTGGACAGGTCGATCTTGGTCGCGGGCGGCTTCGTAGTCTCCTCGTCCGCCACGATGCTTGTGTGCAACTTGCGCACACAGACCTGGTAGTGGGCTCGAGCTGCATCCAGCTGGTCGCTTTGTTGGCGGACTTCTTTCTGCGCTTGCTCGACCTGGGCCTCAAGCTTCTCGCATTTGTCGACAGACTTGCTGAGGATGGCCACAGCCCTGTCCATGCGGGCTTTCGCCAGCTCCACCGACATATCCACGTCGAGCTTGCTCTGGCGGTGGTCATCGAGCTTCTTCTGGTAGGTCGCCGCGGCCGCCGAATCGCCTGTCTCGCTGAGGAGCTTGACCAGGCTGACCAGGCGCTGCTCCTCCTTGTCACCACCGTCACTGTCGATGGTCTCTGGCCACAGGTCGAAGGCCACCTGGGGCGGCGTGCGGCTGGGCTGCCGCTCGCGAGACGGCTGTCTCCTGGGTGGCAGTGGGCCCTGCCGCCAGGGATGGGCAGGAGCTTCGCGCCGACTGCCAGCAGCACCAGCGAGAGGAGCAGGCGAGCGCCCGGCCCCACGCCCTGGCTTGGGCCCCTGCCGCGGTGGCGGCTCGGTCGGTACGAGCTGTCCGCGGCAATGTTTGCACCATCGCCAGCCGAGGTTCTTGCCGCAGCCGCAGGCCTCGCACTTGACCATCTCGTTGCTCGTGGCGTCGCCATTCATCTGCCTGGGAGGCTGCTGTGCACTGTGGTGGCCCTTCAACAAGCCTGCTGCCTGCCCCAGGCGCGCCAGCGTTCTCGACCACGAGCGGTGTCGGCGCTGGCGCCGATGCTCCGCTCCCTCCCTAGGCCTCGCCGTGGCGGCCGAGAGAGAGCACAAACAGAAAGGTAACGCGGTCCTGTCTGGGGACGCGCGTGAGGTTAGCCTGGGAAGGGGCGGTACGGTCCCAGATGTGCGCCCCTGCGCTCAGGCCAAACCTTCCTCCTCCTCCTCCTCCTCCTCCTCCTCCTCCTCCTCCTCCTCCTCCTCCTCCTCCTCCTCCTCCTCCTCCTCCTCCACGCCCTGCTTCGCTTTCCAGGCGCAGGCTTCCTGACGGCGCCAGGGGGCAGCTTATCGTGACCCCCGTCTCTACGAGCGGCTCCTTCCGGCAGGAGGGGGAGGGTGGGGGGCGCTTGTAGCCCCAGCTGTGGGCGAACTTGTCGTCCGAAGTGTTGCGCTGTGCGCTGTCGTGCAAATAGGGCGCGAGTCCCCGCCCTGCTCCTCACGCTCCTTCCGCGCCGATGGCGGGAAGCCCCCCCCCCCCGCCCCGATTCTGAGCCACCGGCGGCTTTCGACCTGGAGCGCCCACGCCGGGGCCGCAGCCGCGTCGCCGACGGCACGCGCCGAGCCACAGGCCAGAGCGGCCTCTGGTCGGCGGCCGACCGATTGCCCCGCGCGCGCTGCTGCGCACACTGGCGGCCTGTGTGCGCGGGCTGGCCCCCCGCCAACCCCCACCTCCGCCCCGTCGCCCCCCCTCCGCCCAGGGGGCTGCGATCTGCCACACTGTCGCCACTTTCGAGAGCGTTGGGTCCAGCGGAGTGAGGCACCGCGGGGACCTGAGCGAGATCTCGCCGTCCCTGGGTGGGGGGCTGCGATCTGCGACACGGTCGCCACTTTCGAGGGCTGCTGCTGGGTCCAGCGGAGTGAGGCACCGCGGGGACCTGAGCGAGACCTCGCCGTCCCTGGGGGGCTCTGGAGAGCTGCTGCGGGATACGTTAGGCGCAACGGGCGCATGGCACAACCAACGGGGATGATTTGTGAAACAGACCATCTGCCAGACGATGGCCATAACGTTGCGCCTACACGTATCCCGCGGGGGCTCTCGAGAGCTGCTGTGGGATACGTTGGGTACAACGGGCGCATGGCACCGAATGCTGCTCGCAAAATCACATGCGTCCACGTTACGTCATCGCCCCCGTTGCAGCAATCCTGATGTACTTATGCCCCGCACTGCGCACGGGTTGGGTACGTCGCCAGGGTAACTTCATTCTGGCCAGCCCTTGCGCGCAGCAGGTCCTTCTGGGTGGCTCGCACGAGCAACTCGCGGGACAGCACGCCGACCAAGACCCCGCCGGGGGCCACGACGCAGGCGGCCTGCCACCCGATGTCCGTGAAGAGCGGGTAGAAGCGGGTCATCGGCGCGTCCGCCTGCGAGGGGGAACGCTGGGCCCGAGATGCTCGCGTCGTTCCAAAATCGCGGCGGGTATTTTCTTGTAAATGTTCGACCTCTTGGGGGGGCCTGACGACTCGGGATGAGAAGCAGCGGGTCCCGGGGGAACGAGTCGAGACCTCTGGGGGTCGTCGTGATGGAGAAACAAAAGCGTCCGCGGGGGAACGATGCAGTCGTCGTGCTACCATCAGGAGCGCCGAATTCGGAACGACGGGTTTTTTTTTCTGGCCACGGCGAGCCTGGGCCACGCAGAGGTTCCCCGACCGAGATCGAAAGAGCGAACGACAGAGCCTGCCACCGCCGTGAGGCGACCCTGCAAGGACGGCAGGCGCGCCGAACGCGCTGGCCTCCAGGAGGGCCGGGAGGCTGCTCAGATGGGAAGAGTACTCCTATGTATTAGCGCCACATGTGTTTAACAGACTCGTCTTCTGAAACCTTCAGAAGAGGAGGTGGAGGAGGAGGAGGAGGAGGAGGAGGAGGAGGGAGGAGGAGGAGGAGGAGGAGGAAGAGGAGGAGGAGGGAGGAGGAGGAGGAGGAGGAGGAGAGGAGGGAGGGGAGGAGGAGGAGGGAGGAGAAGAAGGAGGAGGGGGGGGAGGAGGGGGGAGGGGGAGGAGCAGGAGCAGGGAGGAGGAGGAGCAGGAACAGGGCAGGGCAGGCAGGAGCAGGGAGCAGAGGCGGAGGAGGAGGAGGAGGAGAGGAGAAGGAGGGGGAGGAAGGAGGAGGAGGAGGAGGTGGAGGGAGGAGGAGGAGGGAGGAGGGAGGAAGATGAGGAGCCTGGATCACAGGCGGGCTCCCGTCCATGATCTGGCCGACGGGCACTGACGGCTTGCCCCGCCCACCGGGCGTGGCCTCGGCGGGCTCGGGCCGGAGGTAGTGCCTCGCGAGAGGACGCCACCCCCACGGGTCGGGGGCTGCTGAAGGTGTCCCTGGCCCAAGGTCCCCCCCGCTTTTCGCTCCAGGTCGCTCCAGCTTGGAGCCCCTGGAGCCCGGAAGGCCTCCTTGGAAATCCTGGGGGCACCTTGAGCCCCCAGGGTTGGGCCTCGTGAAAGGTGCTCTGAAGGCCTTGGAAATCCTGGGGGCACCTCGGGCCAGGGGCACCTCCTCTGGCAGCACCCGAACGGGGCGGGGTGGGAGGGGGGGGGGGGGGCACGGGCGCAGAGGCGTCGGGCTCGTGCGTGCGGCGGCGGCGCGCCCGGACTCCGCAGCGAACGGGCGGCGATGAGAACGGCAGAAGAGCACGGCTCGAGGCTCGGCGCTCGAGGTTTTTTCTGCGCAGAAGGCATCTATACACCGCCACCGTGCCAAGCCAGGGCCATCCTGGGGCCCAGGATGGCCCTGGCCTGGCACAGTGGCGGTGTACAGATGCCTTCGTCGGATTTTCGGGCGTGCTCGTCGGCTCTCTGCGGCGCTCCAGCCTCGGGGCGCTTCTTCCAGCAGCGGCACTCTCGCCAAGAGCGCGCTCCAGGGGTGCCCGGATCGCCCCGAAGTGCCGGTGCGCGGACGTGGGGGGTGTCCTGGCTGCCGATCTGCCGTACTCTGGTTGGTGTTCCGGCTGTACACCGTGCCAGAAAAAAACCCAAACGACACGAAACAGTGGGGCCCCATCCACAGCGGAATTAAGCAGCGTTGTCATTGGGTCGAAGGTAAGCCCCTCCCCTCTGATCCCTTCCCCGCGGAAGGGGGAAAGGGGGTCCCGGGGGTGGCCCCGGGTCGGAATGCCACCCTCCCGGGGCCCATGGCCCGCCCTCTCCCTCCGATTTCCGTCGAGGGCCGAAGCCTCCAGGGTCAGCGGCACTGGCCGTAAGGCCTTAGCAATACACCCCAAGCGATACAGAAAAATGGGGCGGAGATGTCCGCCTTAGGAAAGTGAGGCGAAGTTTTCCGCGGAAGGATGGAGGAAACAGCATCGGCAAAGAAGGGCGCACTGTCGGGTCGCTGATTAAGGGGCCCTTCTCGTTGGAGAGGGGCCCAGTGCTCCTTAATTGTTTTATACTTGTTTTAGGCTTTCGATGGTGAATCGAAGTTCAGCTTACGAAAAAAGGAGCTTCGTTCCTGACTTAAGGTTCCTTGTGACAGCGTTCAGACTGTACATCGGCATCAAAAGAACTTGAACAAATAGGGCGGTCATTTCCGCCCTGCTTGCGAAATCGCCCAAAGCACGGAAGATCCGGAATCCTGGTGGACGCGGCGGCGGGGGGAAACCCTGAGATCCGGGCGCTGCCGTATATTTGTCACACGGGTCGCTCTCGCCCAGTCTTCGGGCCCCAGGGCCGTCATCAGGTCGGGCATGTCCCCCATACAGGCAGATTTTGGAGGACAAAAAACAAATAGTCAAAACATATTCAAAGAGGATCAACAAATAATCAAACAATCGTCCCCAGACTATTTTTAACCTATCTTTGAGCATTCCTCCTGTAGAGGGACACGACCGACTTAAGGCCATCACAGATCGATGCCGCTCGGAAGGCGCCGCAGGATTAGGTCGGGCATGTCCCCCTACAGGGGGATTTTGGACGACAAATAAAAAGTAGCCCCAAAATGTTCAAACATGGTCAAAACATACACAAAAAATCGTCCCCAGACCATTTGTTTGCCTCTCTTTGAGCATTCCTCATGTAGAGGGGCACGCCTGACTTGAGGCCATCACAGATCGATGCGGCTCGAAATGCGCCGCAGCACCAGGGGGTCTGGGCCTTCGGCCGTGCTCTCGCCCGCGGTACTGCCCTTTCTCTCGCAGCCTCGGGGGATTTCTCGGGGGGCGGAGGCAGCAGCGCAACCATTCCGCCAGGGAAGGCCACCAGCGCATGGCGCGCCCCCCCCCCCCCGGCGAGTGGCACGTGTGAGGGGAACGGGGAAGCACATAAACATACAAGCTCGGAGGTCCGCACGGACTTCTCGGATCCACGCCTGACCCCCCCTCCCTGGCGCGCGGAGCGCGCCAAGGGCGGCGCCAGAGGCGCCACTAGGGGAGTCCAGCGCGGATCCGGGAAATCCGCGCGGACCTCCGAATTGTTTCCCTACCAAGGCTCTGCTTAGAAGGGTTCTTACCCTCTAGCTTAAAGGGGCCGGGCAGTGGGAACCGGCCCGGGCGGTTCCCCCAGGATCTGCCCCGCGGTTCCCCCAGTTGCGTCCCCTTAGCTTAGCGTTGCTTATCTCATCTTAGCTTAGCCTATTTCATCTTAGCTTAGCTTAGCTTCATCTTACCTCAGGTGTATATTAGCTTAGCTTACCTTCATCTTAGCTTCGCCGAGCTTTAGCATAGCAGAGCACATCATAGCATAGCATAGCGTAGCATTAGCATGGGTGTAATTCCCGACCTAGGCTCTGCCTAGAGGGTTAGCTTAACTTAGCTTAGCTTAGCATAGCGCAACGTTGCATCATCATCGCATAACATAGCCAAGCATAGCACAGCATAACATAGCATAGCATATCATAGCATAGCATAACATAGCATAACATAGCATGGCATAGCATAGCGCAGCTTAGCATAGCATAGCATAGCTTAGCACAGCGCAGCATGACATAACATATCTTAGCATAGCATAGCATAGCATAGCGCAGCATATCATAGCATAGCATGGCATAGCATAGCTCAGCATAGCATGTCATAGCATAGCATAGCAAAGCATAGCAACTAATGCTGCTTTCCTAGGGGCTCCAACTTCTAGGTAGGGTCGCACTGGGGTAATTTGTTTATGTCCTTCCTCGTTCCACTAGGTATGCCCCACTGGTGCCGACCTCCCCCCGGGGAAGGAGGGAGCGTCGTGTATGCCCCACTGGCAGAGATCCAACGTTTTGGTGTTTCCATGCGGGGTCCTCGAAAGTCCTCCTCCTCCTCCTCCTCCTCCTCCTCCTCCTCCTCCTCCTCCTCCCCGTCTCCTCCTCCCCCTCCTCCTCCTCCTCCTCCTCCTCCTCCTCCTCCTCTTCCTCCTCTTCCTCCTCCTCCCCCTCCTCCTCCTCCTCCTCCCCTCCTCCTCCTCCTCCTCTACTCCTCCTCCTCCTCCTCCTCCTCCTCCTCCTCCTCCTCCTCCTCCTCCTCCCCTCCTCCTTCCTCCTCCTCCGCCCCCTCCTCGTCCTCCTCCTCCTCCTCCTTCTCCCCTCCCTCCCTCCCTCCCTCCCTCCCTTCCCCAGGCCTAGCGCTTCAGCCTCAGACGTGTTTCGGTGTACTGGGGCCCGGCCAAGGCCCCCGGAGACGACAACGAGGAGAGACCGCCACATGGATCTGGCCAATACGTTGAAGGCCTGGGAACTTCGGATCCGGACCTCAGGGGTCCTTGTGCCGGCGATGTCCCGGTGGCGGTGGCAGGCCCTAATAGGGGTCCTTGTGCCGGCGATGTCCTGGTGGCGGTGGCAGGCCTTAATGCCGTGGGTGGAAACAGTTAAAGCGAAACTGATTCGTAACGTTGGAATTTCGCCTTCGAACTGCGGAATTCCAACGTTCTGATTTGGCTTCGCGTTCATTTCTTATATCCGCGGTAGCAGATGGGGACGGAGGATCATACCGCACTGCCGATGCATCGGCGGCGTCGGCGTGGAGAGAAGCGGGCTCAAGATCGAGCCGCATATCGCCGATGCCTCGGCGAGGCGGCGCTATATCTGCGCCCCTGGCCCCCAGCTTGGGGACGCCCGGAGAGCTTTTTCTTTTTCTCGGAGCAGGGCGAGTTGAGGCAACGGCAGCTCAGAAATGGTCCCTGGACCCCTCTCCAGGGTCGAGACGCACCAGCTTTCCGAGCTGCGTCCAGCCAGAGCCCCCAGAGGCCAACTAACAGCAAGAAGCAACCGAGAGAGCCCCCTCCCTGGTGGGTGGAGCACGATCACATCTCGCCCCCTGGAAGGGCTGCCCCGCTCCCTGACCTCGCCGGCCCCCCAGGATTCATTCATAGCAGATCCCAAAAGGACCCAATAAGGCTCCAATATGATCCCGATAGGATTCCGATCGGCTTCCAAATAGATCCCAATCTGATCACGCTAGGATTCCAACCGAATTCCAAGTAGATCTCAATCAGTTCCCTTTCGGATTCCGATTGACTTCCAATAGGATCCAAATACGGTCCAAATCATATCCCAGTAGGACTTCATGCAGGATTAAAATCAGATCGCAATCGGATTACTAAGGGCCCCGCAGGGAATTCAATCAGACATGGCTTGGGATTCTGATCAGATCCCAGTCAGACTTCAATACATGGGCGTGATTGAAGTTTCGCCCAATTCTGCCACTGCGGCGCTCCTGTGCACGATGCAGGAGAATGACGACAGATGCAGAGGAACACAAAGCCATCCTGTGTGAACGCGACGTTGTGGTCCCAACGGGCGCACCAACATACATCATCACGCACTTGAAAACACCAACGCCTGAACACCACTGTGATGGTGAGCACTGAAGCGCCGGTGGGCGCCACAGCGCCTGTGAAAAACAAGACGCAAGAGCGCCCGAACGCTCATGCTCACAGGAATGCTTGTGAGGCTGGGGATTTTCTCTTTGCCTTTTGGATTGAGAGCTTTGTCTGGCTGATACGACTTTGCTTCCTGGTTTATAGTCCCGTCGCGCTCCTGGACTTTTGCGCCATCCTGCAAGAAGGCCGCTAAAGGCAGAAGGAAGCAAGAGCGAGAAGTCCTAGTCGCTCTAGCCGTTGTCGCCGTCCCCGTGCCCGCTGGTCTCGCTATCAACTTCGACGCATCGACTTGGAACGTCTGTGGCTCCAGAGAGGCACTCAAACTTTTCGAATGGATAGCGCGCGATTGTGTCATTAGATGATGCCGTTTTCGCTGTTGTCACGTGTCGCGGATTGGGCCAACATGCGCGCAGCACTTCCTGAGCCCAACACTGCCCGAACACCGCCGCGACTGCAGGCACCCGGACGCGCCTGTGGACACCGCATCACCCGTGAACACCAGCGCCTGTGAGCAGCACCAACACGCAGACCGCAGCAGGATCAATGAGCACTCCATCCATCCACCCATCCTCCCTCCCGCCTCCTCCCTCTGACGCTCCCCCCAATCACTCATTTCACCCTCGCATCCCTCATCCTTCCAGCCGTCCTCCCTGCATTCATCTTTCCATTACTCTCGATCCCTCGCGCCCCCATCTATCATTCATCTATCACTCGCTCCTTCTAGACATCCATCCATCCTCACTTCCTCCCTCCTGCGCTCTCCCTCCCCCCAACCCTCCCGGCCATCAACTCACTCCTCGTGCCTCAACCCTCCCTTCGTCCGTCATCATTCATCCCTCACTCTTTCATCTGTCACGCTCGGGACTTCCGTCCTCCATCCATCCCTCTTGCAACCATTCCTGCTGCATCCGACCTGCTGCCCCATCTCTCCGTCGCCCATCCCTCCTTCCTGCCCTCTTCAATCCCTCCGCCCGTGTGCCTTTCCCCACTCCTCCCTCCGTCATCCATCCCTCCTCATCAAAGCGTCCACTCATCCATCTCTCCGCGCACATCCCTCCTTCCTCCATCCGTCCGTCCCCCCATACCCCCATCCTTCTGTGCATTCTCCCTCGTCGTTCAGATCGCCCTCCTGATCTTCCTCCTCCTCATCCTGCACCTCTTCCTCCTCCTCCTCCTCCTCCACCTTCTCCCCCTTCCTCCTCCGATTCCGCCTCCTCCTCCTCTCTGGAAGGATCCGCGACAACATATGCTGTTGAGTCCTGGACTGCATATGCGCAGCAAGCTGCGACACTTCACCGATCAAGGCGATCCGCCTGGGGATTCTACAAGTGTCGCTGCTTGAACCCAGCAGCGCCTAAGCACCACTGTGGCTTGCGACGGTGAGCATCCAGGCGCCTGAACGCCAGCACTGATAAATCAGCACAACGACGCAGAGCACCTCGTGCTCACCTGAACCGCACGCCCCAAGATGCTCCCCCTGCAGGCTTCAGCTTGGCAGGTAACATGCCCCAGTGCACGTACAGCGTGGCTCGGTCTGGAAGAAGGGCGGCGAGGGCGCAACACTCCACAACACCCCGTCCAAGTGCGCGATCGACCAGCGCAGTCCCGCGCGGAACGACAAGACGTATACCACTGCGTGCCAGTGCAGCGAACATGTACCCGCACTCACAGAAGCACGTGCGAAGATAATACGTCATTCCAAACCAGCAGGCCTTTCTTCCCTCGGACTGGGCGCATCAATGTTGAACGGATGTCCCATGCGAAATGCTTATAGTCCTCTTGCCTCGAACCGTATCCCGATCAATATCGCGAGGATATCTCGAGCGACTAATGTATGACGAACCTGGTTGAAAACAGCTCCAAATCATGTGTTCGAGGACGTCCTACGCGAAACGCTCATTGTCGTGTGGTGTCGAACCAGACGCACATGCATTTTGAGAGGACACTCCACGCAACTTGTCTGATTTCGAGGAAGTCCCGCACGTCACGCAAACCTTTCTATTTTTCCGAACCGAGGTCGAACATGGTTCGAACACGCTGTTCGAGGAAATCCCGCGCAATAGGCTCACGTTTCTATTGTTCGGACCCGAGTTCAAACCTGGTTCGAACCTGATCTCCGCGAAAGTCTCGCACGAAACGCTCACTTCCCTGCTGTTTGGAACCGACTTCGAACCTGGTTCGAACCTGCTGTTGGAGGAAGTCCCGCACGAGACGCCCACTGCTCCACTCTTTCGAACCGAACTCGAACCTGATTCGGATCTGATTTCGTAGAACGTTCCGCACGACACGCTCCCTTGTTCGATTGTTTGGAACCAAGTCCGAACCTTGTTCGAAACAGCTTTTCTGTCGAGAAAGGCCCACAGGAGACGCCCACTTTTTCTAGTGTTTGGAACCGAGTTGGGAACCTGGTTCGGACCCGCATTCCGAGGAAATCTTGCACGAGACTCCCATTTGTCGAGTGTTTAGAACCGGCTTTGAGACCAGGTTCGAACCTGTCTTTCGAGGAAGTCCCGCACTTGTCCTCTGCTTGGAGCCGGCTTCGATGATCTGGAACCGACTCTGAAACCTGGCTCGAGCATCTTTTTTAGCAAACTCCACGCGGTCCGCTGGTGTGGAACCGCCATCCCGCTCAGCCTGACAAGAATCTGGCCATCGCTCGGACCTCCATTCCCCGTGCATTCTTCGGCTTCGTGCGTTGATTTCTTCGCACGGTGATCCAAGAGGCTCCTCGGTGGTCCTCGCCGAGGAACACGTGCACACGTCCGAGCGATGCAAATTGGGGGTAAAACCCCAGGTTGCCCACTCCTCGCTGGCACAGCTCCACTCGCGTCACTGTCACAGGCTCCGCGCGCCTCACGGGGCACCTCCGATCCACGCTGCGCAAACGTGTCAAACATTAGGAGGTCTTTTATCACGGCGCAGTCAGATCCCAATCGGAATCCATCAGGATCTCAATCGAATTCCTTATCACCATTCCTGCACCCAACCTTGCAGGAATTGATTTCTCTGAGTGGTGGTGCTAACATAACGCTGTCGAGGCGGGGGGGGTGATACTCCCTGGCGTGGTCCACTACCCAGAGCAGCAAGATAAGTTAATCGACTGCTCACAGACCTCTCATGTAAACGTACATCGACAAAATGTTGCACCACTGTGCGTTGTTCTTCACACGCATGCTTCAACCGTTCTCCCCCCCTCCCCCCCCAAATCTAATATTGGGGGCCTGCGAGAATGAGCTCCTCCGGATTTCCCAGGCGCCCGACAATATATTGCAGCACCGAGCTGTTTCGGCGATGCCGGCCCGTAGCCAATATTTGATTGGGGGAGGGGGGGAGCGAGCACGAAACGTCGATTGCACAACGACGTCTGATTTCGCGGGCACCAGGTGGTGCAGCACTTTGTCCGTGCACCGACTCTCCGCATCCGCAGACTCTCCCCTCCCTCTCTCTTTCTCTAGGCTTCTGTGTGTTTCTTTCCTTTCTCTCTCTCTCTCTCGTCCTCGTCGTCGTCCCTCCCTCCCTCCCTCTCGTCCTCGTCCTCTCGTCGTCGTCTCTCTCGTCCTCGTCGTCCCTCCCTCTCGTCCTCTTCGTCGTCTCTCGTCCTTTCTCTCTCCCTCCCTCGTCCTGGTCGTCGTCCTGGTCGTCCCGGCCCACGCAGCCCCCGGGCCCCCTCCTGGGGCATCCGCAGCGCGTTGACGTCGTTTGGGTTCCATGGCTTCGATAATCCTCCTCAAAAATCTTAAACGATCTCGACGGGGGCCCAGTCAGAATTCCTCTCCGAAAACGAGATACTGTTTCCTCTTCTGTTCCTCTTTCTCCCCGCCCCACCCCCCCGAGCAGGAGATCATGCACTTTTTGACGAGCTATTGATAGCTGAAAACTCTGGGGAGGTGTTCTCAGTTGCCTCTTGCGGCTACCGTTAGGTCGGGCATGTCCTCCCACAGGCGGATGTTTGAAGAAGACAAAAATAGCGAAATAGCACATGGCTCACCAAATTCTCAAACATAGTGAAAAGAGCACGAACAATCGTTCCCAAACTATGGCTTGACTACACCGTCGCGGCAAGACCGATCTGTCTTGCCACGGCGAATGAAGGCGAGAGCGTCGCAAGACTTGCGATGCCCCCCTCCCCCGTAGACTGCTGCGCCAAGACAACAAAGCGCCGCGGTGGCTCAGCCGTGGCGGAAGAAAAATATGTTCTTCCACTGATATTACTTAGTAGTAGCTGTTTACGTATTATTTTTTCCGCCTATTTTTTGACGCATGGAATATGTTTCCACGCCGGCGCGCAGGAACTCCGCTGGGAAAGGCAAATAGGCCTAAACTTCCGTCCCGCCGGAATATTCTTGAATATTCCTCCTGCAGAGGGACATGCCCGACTTAAGGCCGCCGTTGTCTCAACTCGCCCTGGATATGCTTCGCAAGGAGAATTTGGGTTCTGATGGAAACTGGTCCTGGACCTCGTGGGCTTGTTCACCAAGACTAGCCTTCCTAGGTCGTTTCTTGACGTCCTGGGACGCACAAAGACATACTAGTACTATATGTTATCCTTGGAGGCGCGCGCCCGACCCGAACACATAGTATACCCATCTTGTGATATGTCTCGGTGTGGCCAGAAAGAGCCCACCACGACGCGTATACCATACGATTTCTCGGTGCGCGCGTCGCCCCTGGGGGAGGGCGACGAACACATAGTACTAGTATGCTGGAGTCACGCCGAACTCCAGGGGCCCTGGGAGGGCCTGGCAGCCCGAAAGCCATGAATACCCTCAGGACTCCTTTCCGTCAGAACCCCTCTCCTTCAGGGGGGGAATCAGTAAGGACATGAGCATGACTTTCGGCGGTCCGCGCGGCTTTTCCGGATCGGCGTTGGAGCACCCTGGCGGCGCCTCTGACGCCGCCCCTGGCGCACTCTGTGCGCCACGAGGAGGGGCCCAGCGCCGATCCACGAAATCAGCGCGGACCTCCTACAAGTTATGCTGATCTAATTATCTGGGGAAGCAAGAGGTACCGATACCGCTGCTCCCCAGACCTCTCCTCCCGGGGTGTGTTCTGACCAAGACCTCGAGGCGAATCCAGCGGTGGCGACGAGGGCCTCCCAGGAGGCCCCCCAAAGGCGAAAACGAGGGAGGGGTAGCGGTAGTAGAAGAAGAAACAACTGTGCAAACATAAACTTCTGGCGCTCCGCGAGGATTTCTTGGATTCGCGCTGGACCCCCCTCCCTGGCGCGCGGAGCGGCGCCGCCGGGGGGCCCAGGCGCGGACCCAAGAAATCCGCGCGGAGCGCCAAACGTTTGTGCTTATGTGGTTTTTCCCTCTTCGAGGTCGGAGCATTTCTTCCTCCTCCGCGACCTGCTTCGGACCCCGGGGGCCTGAGGGATATGGAGCCGGCGAAGTCCCAGAGGCTCTCGCCCTGCCGGTCCTGGAAGTACGTCCGCTGCCTCCGCGCCGTCCTGTCGGGGAGACGTAAGACTCGGGTTCGGGTGACTCGGGTTGGCCCCAGGTCGGGCGTGTCCCCCTACAGGGGGGTTTTGGACGAACAATTAAAAATAGCCCAAAAATCGTCCCAGGACTATTTCTTGACTATTTTTCAATATTCTTCCTGTAGAGGGACAAGCCCGACTTAAGGTTGGCCTGACGACTCCATCATGAAAATGGCGAGACCCAATCTGAAATTTGACGCGAGCTCCCGCGGCAAACATCCCACGAAAACTGGAGCGTCCAAAGCCAGGACGCGCCTCGTCAGAAAGCGTCGGCGAACCCGAGCTCCGGCTCCCTCGAGCCTCGCGCTTCCCCGATCCTGCACTGCGCGGCCGCGGCCGCGGCCGCGTCGCAGCCGCCGTCCGCCTCCCGCACGTGCCAGAGCAGCTGCCGGAGCCGCGCGCGGGTGACCAGGCCGAGGAGGTGGCCGTCGCCTGGGAGGGGCAGAGAGCTCCCTACGACGACGACGCTGACAACGACGACGACAAGGACGACGACGAGGACGACGACGACAAAGACGACGACGATGACGACGAGGGGGAGGACGACGACGACGACGACGACGACGACGACGTCGACTACGACGACGACGACAACGACCACGACGACGACGACAAAGACGACGACGACAAAGACGACGACGACGAGGAGGACAACGACAACGACGAGGACGCTGACAACGACGACGACGACGACGACAAAGACGACGACGACAAAGACGACGACGACGATGACGAGGAGGAGGACGACGAGGACGACGAGGACGACGACGACGACAACGAAGACGACGACGACGACGAAGACGACGACGACTACGACGACGACGAAGACGACGACGATGACGACAACGACGATGACGACGAGGACGACGGCCACGACGACGACACTGACAACGACGAGGACGACGACGATGACGACGATAACGACGACGACCACGATGACGACATCTAAGACGACGACGACGAGAACGACAACGACGACAAAGACGACGACGAGGACGACGACGACGACGAAGACCACGACGACGACGACGAGGACGACGACGAGGACGACGACGAAGACGATTAAGAGGACGACGACAACGAAGACGACGACGACGATGACGAGGACGACGACGACGACAACAACGACGACGACTACGACGACGACGACCACAACAACGACGACACTGACAACGACGACGACGACGACGATGCGGGCGACAAAAAAGGCGACGACGATGACGACGACGACGATGACGACAACGACGATGACGACGATGACGACGACAACGAAGACGACGACGACGACAAGACGACGACAAGACGACGACGATGACGACGAGGACGACGACGACGACAACGACGAGGACGACGAGGACGACGACGACGACGAGGACGACGACAAAGACGACGACGACAACCACGACGACGACACTGACAGCGACGACGACGATGACGACGACGACAAAGACGACGACGATGACCACGACGACGACGACGATGACGAGGACGACTCCGACGACGACAACGACCACGACGACGACACTGACAACGACGACGACACTGACAACGACGACGATGACGACGACGACGATGAAGACGACGACGACGACGACTACGACCACGACGACAACAACTAAGACGACGACGACGACAAAGACGACGACGACAAAGACGACGACGACGAGGACGACGACGACGACGACGAAGACGACGACGACGACAAAGACGACGGCGACGACCACGACGCGACGGAACTGACAACCACGAGGGCGACGACGACGACCACGACGACGACGACGATGACGACGACGACGACCACGACGACGACGACGACGACGACGACGACTACGACAACGACAACACAGACGGCGACGACAAAGACGACGACGAGGACGACGACAAGGACGACGACGACGACAACGACGAGGACGACAACGACGACGACGACGATGACGACGACGATGACGACGACGACGACGACCACGACACTGACAACAACGACGACGACGACGAAGATGATCGTCGTCGTCGACGACGACAACGACTACGATCGTCGTTCATGACGACGACGACGACGATCGGCGTCGACGTTGGCCGCGGCGGCGGCGGCGATCGGAGCCCCTGGCTGATTCTATGAAGCGCCCACTCCCTTGGCTATCTATCCCCGCTGCAGCTCCCGCGCAAGCGCCAGATCCTGCTGCGAGAGCTGCCCGCGAACATCGGCTCTGTGCTGGGCCCACATCCCTACACGAAATCAAACACAAGTTTCTTTCCCACGACGTGGCGGCGCCCCTGGACCCCCAATTTTCAACGTTCGCGCCGAAACTGGCGACTGCTATTTGGTGCTAGGACCCCGCGGGCCGCGTTGCGCGCGTCGCTGAACATTGAGATTGAGATTGCGGGGCGACGAGCTTGAGCAAAAACTTGCGATCGATGTCACGAAAGGATGCGAGGCCACTTTTGGTTATTGGCGCCATGAGGTCCAAGGGATTCGCATTTTTCTTACCAGGCGTTTTCACTACGGCTAAAGAAATATCGCAGAAAGATGGAGCCTGTGGTTCCGGTCGCGATTTTCTCGCGATGCTGCAATTTGTTAGGCAATGTCGGATCTCAGGAAAGACGTAACGATGAAGCGTCGGTGTCGATCTTGGTCACAATCCATCTTGGTCATCGTCAATCCGTGGACCATCCCCGCGAATCGGCCACGGCAAGCATGGACCATGACGAAGATCTGTATCGACAAGATCCCGCGACATCTTGGCCATGGTCTGCTCTCAACATGAGGCGAAGCCATGGCTGCCAAGGGCAAATCTTGGCGTTCAGGTCATCACTCGGCTCCCTGGCGGTCGTTCGGACGATCCCGGCTCCCCCAGAACGCCCTCGGCGAGGCGCAGCTGCTGGAGAGCAACCCGAGGCTGGAACACCCCCGAGAGCCGACGAGACCGCCAGAACACCTCGAGCCTCGAGCCGTGTCGCTTCCCCGGGGTCGCCGTCGGTGACGGGGAACTCCGAGGCGTCGCACGCCCCCAGGGCCGCCTCCACTGCCTCGGGGGGGGCCCTGGCGGAGAGGCGGGCGTCGGGCGGCAGCGGCCACAGCGAGCACACGGCGGAGGCGCTCACCATGGAGGGGTTGAGCTCCCTGGGCGTCTCCTGGCCGGGTTGCCCTGACTTGGCGGCGAGCGGGGGGGGGGGGAAGCGAGAAGGAGAGTGCCTCCCCTGAAGACGGCACGGGCTTCTCAGAAGGCCCCGCGGCTTCTGCGCAATTCTCTGCGGCCTCGGGGAAGGCATAGAAAACTGCTCAGATGGCCAAGGGACTTCCGAGACTTCTGAGAAGGCCCACCCTGGCCCCCCTCGCTCGCTGCCGACTGACTCTGGATCCGCCCTACTTCGGGCGATTTCGTGTGGGGCGGACACGTCCGCCCCACTTTGCCGGCGCTGTTTCCGCCATACCTGTGCGGAAATATCCGCCCGACTCATGCGAGGCGGAGATTTCAGCCCTACTGTTTCGCATCGTTTGGCGTAGATTTCCGATACACTACCAAGTCGGAGATCAGACACAGTACGGCGGATCCGAAATAAGGGGGGTCGACCAAAGCAGCGCCTCGGCTGTGAAGAGCACAGGGGAATCGAAAACTTCCTCTCAGGAGTTCGAGCCTGTTAGCCATGCCTACGCTTCAACACTGCGCTGGCATCCAGAATGGAAAGGATGGAGGTCGAACCTCCACCGAGGAGATTTTTAACCCTCTGGAAACTGCCAGCTTCAATATGTCAATATATCGGAAAGGGGACGCAACAATGCCCTCGGACTCGGACTCGGACTCGGACTCGGACCTGCAAAGTGCACGCTGGCGGGCGCGCTGCAGGCGGGCGCCATGGCGCCATTGTGTGAAACTAGAATGGCAGCGGGCTCAGCGCCGGTTGGCGGCGGCATGCACGCGTGGTGCTACAAACGGCGCTATGGAAAAAGGATACCATCGCATTATCTGCTGACAAATCTGCTCTCCATCGTTCCCCGAACGTCCGTCGTGGCAACATCATACCAATCGTATCCAGGACGATTTGGTTCTGATAAGATAAACTGTCGCAGATGATCAGACCATCGCTTCTTCGGGTGGACTGGGTGTCGGCGAGTGTCACAATCGACGGTTGCCTCCGGATTCCACAACAACGCCCGTGCCGTCCAGTTGTTGGACAGGAGAACCTTACGAGCCCATTTCCATTTCCGTTGTCGTCGAATCGGCACCCAATCTGCAAGATTGAGTCGTGTGAGGGTGTCTTCTGTTTTCTTTGTTGCTCTGCGGATCCACTCCGCCCAAGGTTCCAATCCGTCGTCTTCGCACTCTTGTACCGGGTGGTCTGGGATCTCGTCCTCGGTCGACGCTGCTGAATCTCCAGTGGTTTCTGCAACAATGCCATCACTGGCCAGAAAAGGGGACGACGACGACGACGACGACGAGATGGCCAAAACGACTACGACGACGACGACGACGACGACGACGACGACGACGACGACGACGACGACGACGACGACGACGACGAGGACGACGAGATGGCGAACACGACTACGGCGACGACGACGGGGAAGCAAAGCCGCCTGTCTGCGGCAGCTTCCGCTTCCTCCTCGGCTCCAGCCGCTCTGGCCCGAGGGCAGCCGAGCTGGCCTGCGCGCCGGGGGGGCCGAGGTCGGCCTGCGACCTCGGCTGGCTTTCGGTCGGGCATGTCCCCCTGCAGGCAGATCGTCGACGAAAAATAAAGAAGACTCAACAAATGCCCAAAAATTATCAACAAATGCTCAAAAAATCGTCCCCAGAGTACTTTTTGACTATTTTTGAATATTCCTCCTGTAGAGGGACACGCCCGACTGGGGGCCCGACTTAAGGCCAGCCTGAAGGGGCCTCCTCCTTCCTGGCTCTGGCCTCCTCGGCCATGGAGAGCGCCGCGGCGCGGCGGCTGCCCCGGCGGCTGGCCGCCGCCTGTGCCGCTGGCGCCGTCGGCACCGCGGGCGCCGCGTGCACCGCACGCGGCGCGGGCGACTCCGGCGCCGCCAGTGCCGGCGACGCAGGCGGGCGCCGCGCGCGTCGCGGGCGCCACGGGCGCCGCGGGCGCTGCCGGCGCCGTGGGCGCCGCGAGAGCCGCGGCCACCGGTGCCGTCGCCGCGGGTGCCGCAGGCCGTCAGGCTGTTGACATTCAACGCACCATGTTGTGTAGTAGTTCAAACCGTGGCGTCATACGGATGCCGACCTTTAACACGCTGCTTCTGGACGCGGCATCTTTCATGAGTGCCTTCCTGGTGGGTCTACTCCAGAGCTAGGGTGTCCCACCAACCAGTTGGTCTTAGGTCGGGCCTGTCTTCCTACAGGCGCACTTTGGACGACAAATGACGAATATGAAGAAAATGCGCCAAACATGCTCAAAAAGTCAAAAACCGTTCCCAGACATTTTTTTGACTATGTATTCTTGAATATTTCCCCTGTAGAGGGACATGCCCGACTTCTATAAAGTTAGTCGTCGCTGCGTGCGCTGTTGGTACTGCCGGCGCGGCGGGCGCCGCGGGCGCCGTCGGAGCGGCGGACGCTGCGGGCGCCGCGGCAGGGGAGTGGCTGGCGCCACGGGTCCCGCCGTCGTCGCGGCGGCGGCCTGGGCCCCCTCAGAGGCGCCTCGTGCGCCGCGGACGCCGCCGTGGCCGCCGCGGACGCTGCTGAGGTGCCTGCCGCTGCAGAGCTCTGGCCGGCGGAGGTCGCCATCGCTCGCCTGGCTGCCGCGGCAGCCTGGCGTTCAGGCTCCGCCTGGGGTGTCCGGGCCGACGCCCAGCCCTGCGCTTCTCCAGCACAGGCGGGATCACCGACGCCAGCATCCTCGCCAGCGCAGCGGGGAGCACCGATGTGAGCATCCTCGCCAGCACAGCGCGCATCACCGACGTCAGCATCAGCATCCTCGCCAACTCAGCTGGGATCACCGACGCCAGCATCCTCGCCAGCTCAGCCGGAATTACTGACGCCAGCGTCCACGCCAGCACAGCCGGGGGCACTGACGCCAGCACCCTCGCCAGCACAGCGCGGATCACCGACGCCAGCAGACTCGCCAGCACAGCGCGGATTACCGACGCCAGCATCCTCGCCAGCACAGCTGTGATCACCGACACCAGCATACTCGCCAGCACAGCGCGGACTACTGGCGGCAACATCCTCGCTGACACAGCAAGGATCACCGACCCCAGCATCCTCGACAGCATACATCCCAGCGACGCCAGTGTCTTCACTAGCGCAGCCAGGGGCACGGACGCCGAACACTGACGCCGAGCACCCTCGCCAGCACAGGGATCACTGACACCAGCATCCTCGCCAGCACAGCGCGGACCACCAACGCCAGGACATTCGCCAGCACAGCTGGGCGCACCAGCGCCAGAATCCTCGCCAAAGCCTCTTTCCCTCCGCCACTCTGAACCCCGGTGCCCATGTGAGTGATGTCGTTGGCGCTGTTGCCGACCCGTCTGACACGGCTTACTGGCCGCCCTGGCGATGTTGTCATGCCCATGCGCACCCAACTGTCCTATCTGGCTTGGCGCCGCCCTGGAAACAATATTGCCATGCTCGGTTTCGGACTCGGCCTCACAGCTGTCCTCTTGCCCTGGAGACGCTGGCAGCGCCCCGACTAGCCGCGCCATGTTTGTTGCTTGTGATGTGCAGCCCTCCAGCGCCGCTTCTTGCGACGAAAATAGCGGCGCAGACATCCGCGGTGACTCAGCGTTCGCGTCGCTGGGTGGCTTCGCTGTGTCTCCGAATGCTCAATTCTCGTGCCGTGTAAACGTTGCCCCCGCGCTTAACCGCCGTTTCGCCACCCTGGTGTTGAGGATGCAGCCTGGGCAACTCGGCTTTTCGCCGCCTTGCCTCCAAAATCCTGTCATGTCTCTGCTTCGCGCGCGGATCTGGCTTCCTCGCCGCCCTGGTCACACGGCTGTGAGAGTCTCTTCTCCTGGCGTCGGAGACCACCCCCGTCTCCCCAGACAAGGGGCAGGTGGCGCGCTCGCTGTCTCCAGAGATCGCCGGGCCCGAACGCGAGCGCGCTCCCGACCGAACTCCGACCGAGGCAGCATTGGCCCCCGAGCGCTCCCGCCGTGCCGCCGTCGATCCGCTCGAGCCGCAGCGGAGGCGAAGCCAGAATCTCGGTTCGAGCCCGGCGAGGGCGGCGTTGGGAGGAGGAGGAGGAGGAGGAGGAGGAGGAGGAGGAGGAGGAGGAGGAGGAGGAGGAGGAGGAGGAGGAGGAGGATGAGAGGGGAAGGGGAGGAGGAGGCAGGGTGAGGAGAGGAGGGAGGAGGAGGAGGAGGAGAGTGAGGAGGAGGAAGGAGGAGGAGGAGGAGGAGGAGGAGGAGGAGGAGGAGGAGGGGCGGGCCCGACGCGATGATCAGCGCCAACGCTGAGCAAGCGAGTGCGAGAGTGGAAAGCAGCGGCAGCGAGCCTTGCTGCTGCTCACGGAGATGCCTGCGCCAGGACCCTCGACAGCACAGCTTGGAAAGCCGACGCCAGCATCCTCGCAGGCGCAGCCAGGAGCACTGACGACAGCTTTCTCGCCGGCACGGCTGGATCGCCGACGCCAGCATCCTCGCCAACGCAGGCGAGAGCACCCACGCCAGGACCTTCGCCAGCGCTGCCAGGAGCACCGACGCCAGCATCCCCGTCAGCACAGCCGAGAGCACCGACGCCAGCAGCCTCGCCAGCACAGCCTGGATCACCAGCGCCTGCATCCTCACCTGCACAGCCGGGAGCACCGACGGCAGCATCCCCACCAGCACGGCAGGGAGCACCGACGCTGGCAGCCCCGCCGGCCCACGCGAGACCGACGCCAGCATATTCGGCAGCACATTAAGGAGCACTGGCCCCGGCAGCACAGCCGGACCTCCGCCGTCAATGTCCTCGCCAGCGCAACCGAGAGCACCGATGCCAGCCTCCTCGTCGGCAAATCTGGACCCCCGTCGCCAGCATCTTCGCCAGCGCAGCTAGGAGCTCCGACGTTAGCATCCTCGCCCTCACATCTGGGAGCACGGACGACGGCATCCCCGCCAGCACAGCCACGAGCTCGGACGTCGGCATCTCCGCCAGCACAGCCAGGAGCACCGACGCCAACCTACTCAACAGCACAAGCTGGCCTGGATCACCGACCCCTGCATCCAAGCCAGCACGGCCACGACCTCCGTCGTCAGCATCCTCGCCCGTGCACCTGGGAGCGCCGACGTCAGCATCCCCGCCAGCACATTCAGGGGCGCCGACGCCAACATCGTCTCAGCGTGTGCGAGAAGTGCGAGACAAGTGCAAGATGAGGGGGATGAAACACTGGAGGTCGGCGACTAAATTGACGATGTCACGGCTGGACTCGCCTCGAGACTCCGACCCGGGCGCGCCCCCGGCAGAGCTGATCCGGCTTCGCCAAGCCCTGCCTCGGTGGGCACGCAGTCCCTTGAGCTGCGTGGGCTCTTCGCCGCCCTGGTGGTGCCCTCGCCTCGTGCCGCAGTTGATCCCGCGCCCTGGGAATCCGTTGACGAGGCACTCCGCGGCGAAGAGCATGGCGAAGATGATCGTGCCTGCGGCAGGCGTGCGGGCGGCTGGCACACCTCACAGGCACGGTGCTTCCTTCCACGCTCTTCTGGCTTTCCGCTGCCCTGGTGTAGACGATGCAGTGGATGCGGTTGCTTTCTTCCCACGATGCCCCAGTTTTTCGCCGCCGTGGTGCCGAAGATACAGTGGCTACAGGTGCTCTTCCTTCCCGCGATGCACCGGCTTTTCGCCGCCCAGGGGACAACTTTGCCTGCGCGCCCTGGGAATCAACTCATGCGTTCTTCCGCAGCGAGGAAAGCGGGGAAGCTAACCGCGTCTGCAGCTGTGTTCAGGCGGCTGGCCTCCCTCGCGAGCACGGCGCTTCCCTCCGCGCTGCTCTGGCCTTTCGCAGCCCTGGCGTTGATGGCACAGAGGGTGCAATTTCTCCTTCCTCACACGACCCAGACCCCCGACGTCGTGATTCTTTCACAACGTCGACCCCCAGAGGTCTGGACCCCTTCCCCGGGACCGGTTTCTCGTCCTGAGTCGTTTTTTGACAGTCCGGAGGCCTGGTAAGGCCGGTCCCATGGAGGCCGAAAATAGCGAAACACCTCCCGTCGTGATTTTTTCGCAACGCGAGGAGGCCTCGGGGATGCTTCAGCTTTTCGCCGCCCGGGGTTTTCGTGGCATCTCGGACACCTTTTCTGTGGACAGGACGGGCCGGCGCCGAGCGGCAGAAGGCAGCGGGCCACGCGCGCAGAAGGAGGAGGGAGGAGGGAGGAGGAGGAGGAGGAGGAGGAGGAGGAGGAGGAGGAGGAGGAGGAGGAGCGGAGGAGGAGGAGGAGGAGGAGGAGGAGGAGGAGGAGGGGAGGAGGAGGAGGAGTGAAGAGGGAGGAGGGCGGAGGGAGGAGGAGGAGGCGGAGGAGGAGGAGGAGGAAGGAGGAGGAGGAGGAGGAGAGGAGGAGGAGGGAGGAGGATGGAGGAGGAGGAGGAGGAGGGAGGAGGAGGAGGAGGAGGAGGAGGAGGAGGAGGAGGAGGAGGAGGAGAGGAGGAGGAGAGGAGGAGAGGAGGCGGAGGAGGAGGAGGAGGAGGAGGAGGAGGAGAGGAGGAGGAGGAGGAGGAGGAGGAGGCGGAGGAGAGGGAGGAGGAGGAGGAGGAGGAGGAGGAGGAGGAGGAGGAGGAGGAGGAGGAGGATGAGGAGGGTAGGAGGAGGAGGAGGGAAGAGGAGTAGGAGGCGGAGGAGGATGAGGAGGAGGAAGAGGAAGATGAATAAGAGGAGAAGGAGGAGGAGGAGGAGGAAGAGGAGGAGGAGGAGGAGGCGAAGGAGGAGGAGGAGGGAGGAGGCGAAGGAGGAGTAGGAGGAGAAGAAGCAGCCAGGGAACCCTTGGCGAGACGAGGGCTGGGGCGACTGGGGTGGCTCCTCGCGGCAAGAGGACGAGGCTCCAGGCTGTGCTCAGACCCGGGTGTCTCGCCCCGCTGTTGCAACAAGACCTGGTTCGCTGTCCGTCTCGCGTCGCCGCGGCCGCGCCCAGGACCCCGATCCCCTCGCGGGGCTTTGAAACGCTTTGGGTGCTGCCGTCTGGCCTTGACCTGATCGAGTGCGCGAGTTGGACGGACTCTTCACGTTGTGCGAGGCGGCCCGCTTCTGTCACACCAGTCGCTCCCAGCCTTTCGTCCGAAAGCGCGAGCGCTGAGCGGCAGCGCGGACGCCTCCCATCGCGTAGCCTGTGTCGAGGCCACCTGGGCTGTGACGCGCGACAGGAAGATGGGCCCCTGCATTGCGGGTGCTTCCTTCAGGCGGCAGGGGTCGGCGACGACGGCGGTGCACGTGCAGAAGCGGCCGCTGCCGCCTCCGAAGAGGCAGGCGCCGCCGCCACCTGCCGCCCGGTGGCGGGACCTGCCGCCCGGTGGCGGGAGGTCGGCACGCACCCCGGCAAGGCGAAGACGACGCTCCCGCAACGGGGGGCACGGCAGGGGAGGCGGGAAGCGGTGCGCACGGCTGCCCTGGCCCGGGCCCCGCCCGCGCCGCCGGGTGCACCGCCCACCCTGGCGGCGAGCTCGCGGGTCCCGACGCTCCGCCGTCGCCTGGCCTCGACGGCGGCCGAAGACCCGACCCCGCCCGTGCCGACCCTGCTCAGCGCCCTGCCCTGGGCGACGACAACGACGACCGCAACGTCGACGACGTTGCGGAGGAGCAAGGAGCGGGAGCCCGGGAGCCCCGCAGCGCCCGTGCCGACGCTTCGCTCGACGTCCTGCCCAGCGCCTCGGTCGAGGTCGCGGCCGACAGCGCCCCCCACAGCCCTGGGGACTACCATCGGCCACCGGATCCCGCTCAAGCCCAGCCCTGGCGTCGACCAGCGCCCTGGTCTCGGCCCTGGAGCTGATCGCCTCTGCGGCGTGGGCGGGCGGAGCGGTCCGCGGCCGCGAGAACCTGGGGGCGCCCGGAGAAGGGCTGGGACGTCGCAAGACAGCCACGGCAAGGGACGCCGACAAGCTGTACAAACGTCCCCGCGGGCTGATCCACTGGGAACCCCCTGTTGGCGAGGCAACCTGGCGACTGCGCCAGACGGCTCCAAAGCGAGGCTGGGTCCGCGTTGTCAGTGGGCGCCCCGCGTTCTGCACGGCGCAGCCATGCGAAGGCAGGCGGCCCGCCGCCTGGGACCCTGTAGCACTGGGGTGCGGCCAGCCGTCCAAGGCTCGGTCGTCCTCAAAGGGCTCGCGGCCGCTGGACGCGACGTGGTCGAGCGGGCCGAGCGAGCGGGTGTGGCGATGCGCGGGCCCAGCCGGGCACCTTGACTGAACACTGGACGCGGCCGCGGCGCACCTGGCCTCCGGCACCTGGTGCGTTCTGCTCGGTCCTGTGACCCTCTCCCGCGCTGTCCGGGCTTTTCGCCCCCCCCCCCCCCCCCAGCCCCCAGTTCCCTGCCTCTCCTGCCCCCTGGTCGGGTTTCCGCCCTCGGGGCTCCCTGCCGCTGGTCGGGCTTCCGCCCTCTGGGCTCCCTGTCCCCCGAGTTCCCTGTGTCACCAGTCCTGGCCGCTGCCTCCAGGCTGTCCCGCAGCGTCTTCCTGGTGCTGTTCGGCAGGGGAATCTCACCCTGACTTTAGTGTTCTTCTGCTTCGCACCCAGACCGCCTCCAATTCGCTACCCCTGGTCATGTTTTGGCTCCCGGGTTGCTCATTTGGGATTATCTGTCGGTCTGGCAACCGCCTACCTGATCAAGATCACCGCCTCCGGGCTCGCCACTCCATGTTCACCGTGTACCTGTTCAAAGGCATCCCCTTCACGGCCCGCGGCTTCGTCCTTCGCTGCGTTGTAGCCCTGATTACCCGTTCAAGTTCACCTGGGCCTACCACTTCATGGTCGTCGTGTACCTTCTCGAGGACTCCTATCTCTCTCTCCCTCTCTCTGCAAATTCCGGCCCTGGCCACCCACTGCTTGCTGCGCCGCCTGCACACCCTCTCCGCCGGCACGCCCGTTTAGGTTTGCACCGTCTGAACGGCTCGGTCCTTCCCCCTGCTCTGCTCCTCCCTTTCCGTCGTGCCCCAATCCGCTTTCGGCGCGCCCCGCCTTTAGCCCGACCGGCGCCTGACCGCTTTCGCACCTCTGCGCCCGCTGATTGAAAGAAGCCTGCGGCACTTTGTGCGCCCAGGGCCTGGCGAGGAACGCAACGGAATGCCGTGCCACAACGTTTTGCGTTTTCCTGCCGTTTTCGTGCAATCAATCCGCATTATTCCCCAAAGCTGCGTCGCGATCGGCTCCCAGTGGCCCCCAGCACGAGAGCACGCCGAAGACGGGATCGACACGAAAACTGCCCACGAGATTGTCCCAAACAGCGCTTTGGTCGATCTCTGCTCCTCGTCCAGATACGGTATCCGCTTCTTCTGGATCAGGCGCTCGTCGTACGGCAGGTTCGCGGCGAGCTCCGACACAACGTGGGACACAACGATTGCGAACCTGTACGTCCGAAGATATGAATGCCGCATCTCCTACGTATGGAATCCTGGTTACTCGTGCCATGCTTCCGCCTCCCGTGTCCCTCCCGCACATTTCCTCTCCCACCCACACTCAGAAGCACTAACACTCAGACTCACTCATACTCAGTCCCGCTCATCCCCAGACCCTCTTAAAATCACCCAAACTCACACGAAACTCACATGCACCCATGCCCACTCCAAACCATTCTCCCTCATACTAAGACTCGCTC